ACTCCGTATGGAATAATGGAATGCCGGGAGAAGGGCGCCCCCTTGGAGCATCTGAAACAATGGCACGAGTTGCTTGAGCCTTACTGGCGGCGGTGGTCGACTCTAGGACGGCCTTCAATATTATTCTGCATAAGGGCACTATGCAAATGCGGAAGGCAGAGAGATAGGACTTCGTGCCAGTACGTGAGCCATTCTGGCCCGGCCAGGACCGAGTGGCAAAGGATCACATCACGGAGACAAGAATCTGATACATGAGGCGATCTTGCATCGCCGCACGCAGGGCCATCCCGGTCTCTGCTGAGATCCGTGCCATGATGGGCCACGCTAATGTACGTGTGTTCATAAGCGTATCCTCCGGAGCCCTCTCATGGGTTAACTATGTATGTACGTTCAATGAGATGCGTACGTACTACTGTAACCCGACTGGGGTTGAACGGGGCCTAATAATGTTGTACTGTAAGTGCGTTGGGGGAAGCCGGTAGCGACAGGGAAGTTGCTGTAAGCAAGTCGACAGGTAGACTAGCCCGGGTAGCTTTGCGAGCCGGACGACTGGCTACCGGGTTTGGACAACGCATTGAGGGGCGCGAAGGGGTCTAGGCGGGGAGGGTCGTTGCTTCTGTGATGCATCACCTGGGGACAATGATTGGCAAAGGCGTCAGGCTCTTGCTGGGTCTTTTTGCCTCTTTGCAAGCGTTTCGAGTCCAACTGAAGTAAGCGGCATGCGATCGGAAGTGCTCTGAATGTTGTTGATTCTTTGTGATGCGGATGAATTTTTTTTCCCTATCCATTATGACCTTTGGGAGGCTTGAGGGGGAGGGGGATCTCCAAAAGCAAAGGATTCAGTCAACTGTCAATGTGTCAGCGGCAGTCCGTGTCAGTTTTGCTGCCTCTCGACTGTTGGACCCGCCAGTCGACGCTGTGTAACCAATTCCAAATCTAGACCAAACTTAAATCACTCCTCGGCTTTCCCATTTCCTGCCAGTCAGGACGGCCTTGCACCCTATTCGAACAAGATACCGATGATGATGGTCCTCGAGTCATCAAACCCAAGGTGACTCGGTACTATGGTCGAACCCAAATCGCAATGAACCGGTTCCCCGTACTTAGTAAATCGTGCTATGGATCTCTCATGGACACATTAAGGTTCACTTCAGCCGCTCATCTCTCTCACTCTCCCTCTCTATTGATGGATTGTTGCCCTTCCGTCGCTGCTGGGGATTCCCTGGTTGAAACCAATAGATTGGCACTTATCGATGCTTCCAGGCCCCGATAATTCGGAAAATAAGCGAAACTTGTCAAGTCAGTGTCCTTCGGGCAATTTTCTAAGGTTTTAGTCCATGGGCCCGTGAGCCGGGGGAGCATGTAGGAGCGCAAGCACATATGCCATCTATGGACATAGACTCAGCGAGAGTTTACGAGTGAGTTCGTGCCTGGCGGCCACTGCGTGCGAGCGAATTCTGATCGAGCAGGGGTGGCTACTCTTTCAACTGGTGTCCAGTGTTTCATGACTTTGTTCTGGTGGATTTATGTACTGCCAACTCAGCACTATGGAGCTTGGTACTTTGGAGCCTCCACTATGGTACTATTGGTGGTTTTGAGGGGGCAAAACCGATCGGACATACTCGTTGATATGGCCTAACAAACACCATCGGCGGCAATCCTCGCTATCGCCGCGCGGCGCCGTCTGCTGAAGAAAGGGCGGCTAAGTGTAGCGATAACGTTCAAAGGCGCCATCGTCATCCTCGGCTACTAGGGCAAAGGACTTGCCTCTCCGGGAATAACGGAGTCCGCCCTAACCATGTTAGTTAATTGATCATTCAACTCTCATGGCGTCCACGCCGCCCTCGGAACTTCCCCCAAGCCATTACCATATGGGAGGCTGGTAGATAGTTATCGTTTGGCGCACAAGATAATGATCGTCCACATTCCTCCTTCAACTCTCTCAACGTGGGGCGGCCTGGGCGTGGCTGGAGCTAGAAGATCCATTGTTCCTTCATCATGCCGCATCCTCAGATCCGGGGGCACCTGAATATGACAGATCTGATCCGGCCGCCGCCTTGATTGCCATCTATCAGCGAACCCGGGATAAGGTTTGTCCTGTTTGGTCATGTTCTCCTCATATGGCTCTTGGCTTTGGTACCCCATTACTCTGTATCGCCGGCCCTCCTTTCTCCACTGACACCCTCGGGGTCTGCTCTCTCCCAGTGAAGAGAGAGTCGTGTCCTTTCCCGGGGGATCTTCCATTCACTGATTGCATTCCCGTCCACCGTACCACGGTTCCAACGAGCGGCACTCCTCAGTGTAAACCTGGAAATGGGGTTCCCTCACGCTTCTTCACGCGATAGTCTGGTGGAGTTTTCCGAAACAACTCCTCATAGCGTCTGTCTGTTGGAGACGTCCGACGGCATTCCAAATCCCCTGCCCAGGTCTAAGCCAGCCTATTGCGACGGACTACACCAGGCCTGCACCAAGAAAAGAAGCAGTCCAGAATTGGGTCTGACAGCCGTCACATCCTGGTCGCTGGGATCTCCCAGTGACCCAGGCGTATGGGCCCTTCGTCGGCTGTGGATGATCCCAACTCTGTCCGAGTTTTGACCCCTTCGTTCGGGCCCGTTCGGTAATAACCTGTGCTATTATAGACAAGGCCACTCTATGATCCCATAGTCCGGCTAAACGAGGTTCTCATGGAGACAATGGCTCTGTCGTATGCATCAAGGAGAATCGCCTCACTCGTAACCAGCGAAGACAGGTTAGAACCGTGGAGACTCGTGACAGATTGCGGCCGCTCATTGCCTCCTATCCGACAAAGGTCGATCCCTGGTCTCCTCACACAGCTCTTCCAGGTACCAGGTACTTTTGGCTTCCGTCCTAGAAGTCCTTGCTTCGTGCTATTAGGTCCTATCCCACCTCCTGCCGAAGCTATGATCTGCTTTCGGGGAACCTGCATCTGCCTCTGCATCGGATCATTATGTATAGTACATTCTTACTCTGGGCGTTCATGACCCTTTATTGGTACTTTTGCTTTTCCTGGCCAGATGCCCTCATATGGGCCGCAGGTCAAGACGAGAAAGACACAAGATCGGGCCGGGACTGCTCCCGTGGGCCTCACTTTTGCCCTCGATCCCGTGCAGACCATGTGCTATACATAGTAGTATATACGGAGGGGGTGTGTAGTCTATAGTGGCACTGAGTCTGGGAAGATCGAGGCGATCGAGACGACTTTTGATACCCTCCAACTGGATGGTCCGGATGGCTGATCCGATCTGTTCTCTATAATTTGACGTTTAAATTTGCTTCTCCATGGCTTCAGCACCTTGTCCGGTTCGGAATTGGGCCTGTGTTCGAACTGGCCAGACGGATAAGCGCCGCAGAGCTAGTTCCCACACCTGTAACAGCCACCAGTCCGCGCTTGTCCAAACGACGGGAACGTTTTATGCCTCGACGCTATGGGTTTCGCGGATGCATCGCCGCCTGGGCCCAGGATCCGAAGTGGACACTGGGTGGACGGACCATGGCCATTGGCCCGAACAGACTATTGATGACCGCGATGCAAGGGGAGTCGATACCTTTCTTCGCCCCGTGTAGATCGAAAACCGCTGCAGCGGTGACAAATCAAGGGTCTGCGATCCCCAATCCGACTCTCCTTCTTGTTCATCGGGATCATGGCACGTTGATTCGTCGATCCGGTGCTTTGCCTCGCGTCTGTGCCCATTTCTGATAGAGCAATGTCCCATTCTGTTGGAGGGAGTACTATGGAAAGTGAAAATAAAAAGTACTAGTTGATGGGCTGTCGAACTCTGCCGGAAGCTTGTTCATGCATCCCCGCGTGTCCTCATGGGGAGAGGGAGCAAGGGAAGCAGCAGGATAAGGAAGATGAGGGGGGGAGGAGGAGGAGGAGGAGGAGGGAAGAAGGATGATGAAGCAGTGGAGGCGATGACCAAAAGAGGAAGCGGCGCAGAAGAGAAGGTCCAGATGGAGATGGAGGCTGCAGATAATCTGTAGGGGAAGCAGGGAAGTAGTAGTAGACACAAGGAATAGTATCCCAAGAAGAGAAGAAATAATTATAATAATAATAATCAAAATAAAGTAAAAAAAAATAAAAAATGAAAAAATAAAAATAAAATTAAAACCAAGTTAAAAAATAAAAAAGAAAATGAAAAAAATGGAGAATCCAACGACTCCACCACCATCAAACCATCTATCTGTATGTCATCGTCGATGCTCCATTTCCTTGTTGAGGCAGTCGCAGATCGAGCTAATCCGTTTAGCTTCTGGGGAGGATCCCAAGAAAGCACTTGGTGATACATCCCGAATGCTCTCTCTCTCTCTCTCTCCCTCTTTCACACACTCTCCCATACTGTTTCCGTACTATTCGCATCCTCTCAACCCTTCGCATTCCTCTTCCGATGCAGTTCATTGCCAGCTCAAACTGCACGTCTGAGCGCGCCACCACAATGGCGTCCTTTTGCTGCTCTTTCTGGTCTTTCCCCACTCCCTCCTTCGCCGACTTCCTCATCCATTGCCTCCTCCTTCCCCTCTCCTCGTTCTCGCCTGCGGCTTCCAACATATAAAACATGCAGCGGGATCCTCCCGTCTTGCTCTGTGAGAAGTATTGTGTTCTTCATCATCAAATCTCAGCTGCTCCTCGTGGATTAACCTGATTGTTTCCTCTTGTCTTACTTCTATCCTTAGAAACCCCCCTCATCCTCTTCCTCCCCCCCTTGATTGTATCAGCGTCATTGTTGCCACTGAACTCTCATTTACTATCATCATCCCTTGTGGTCCTTATTATTGCTCCTCCCCCTTGAAGCTTATTCTATATACTTCTTGGCTGTGTGGTTTGCTTACTTCACGCCTAATCATCCCGCGCCGGTGCAGACATACATATCAGAGACATTTCCCCTCCTGCCTGCAGTGCATACAGACAAACCTCAGACATACAGCTCTCTAGCTGCAGCCCCCCGTCTTTCATCTTACCTGCAGCAAGAACCCTCAGCACCATGATGTTTGAAGACATGAACACCATGGCTGACGACATCTCTCGCCGTTGTTCTCTCCCGTAAGTTGTCTTTAAGCCTTGCCGACAGATGCAGCATCTGACGTGACATGCTCCCCCACAGTGTGCGTTCCCTCTCCAGTGCATCCAGCACAGCAGACATGAGCGAGGACCGCCGCTTGCCCCCGCTCCCCCGCGTGGAGCCCTTGCCCCGGGGCCCCTTTGACCCGTTCACCACCAACATCGGTGCCACCAGCTCTCCAAGCTCCCAGGACGCTTTTCCCGTTAGGTCGCCGTGGCCTGAAGCGGAACACATTGTGACTCCCCCATCACCAGCAACCTCCGCCGATAGTTCCTGGCCAGAGTCCGTTCAGTCACAAAAGGCCTTTGACTGGCCGCAAGAGCTTTCCCCTGCAGAACTCCTGAACCTCATCGCCCCCAAGCACATTAACCGCAAGCCGCCGTTGCAGCAGCTCTGCGGGCGAAAGCGCAAGGAAAGCATGGTCTCTGCGGATTCAGACGACCAGAGAGAAAAGCACAGAATTGCAGAGGGAAACCGAAGGAAGAACCTCAGCCAGCTACATCGTGAGCTGGACAGCCGCATCCATGATTTCTTCTTGGAGCGCGCCGGCTGGAACCCGTCCAAGAGCCTACCAGAGTCCAAGGAGCATATTGTTCAGGCTGCCATCTTTCTCATCGACTTCATGCTTTTGATCATCATCCACTTGATCCGCCAGGAGAATGAGATGCCTCGTCAACTGTCCGAGAAACTGGAGCCCCAGATCCGCTGCATGCAGTTGCAGCAGCTGGTTTCTAGTCTTCAGCAGCAGAACCAGACTGCCCAGCAGCAGATCAAAAGTCTGAAGCAAGAGAACCAGATGTTGGAGGAGCGCAACCAAGCGCTCGAGCTTCAGCTGAAGTCATACGAGCACATGTTCCGATCGCCCAAGAGCGAGCCCCTGACTTCTCAGCCGATCATTCATCACGCCGAGGCCAAGCCACGTAACATGCTCCCCGGGTTGCGGGTATTCTGCGACGAGATTGCCGCCAGCAGCCCTGAATCCTCTCGGCTTGAGTCCCATCCCACAGCGCCAGCTTTCACTTTCGGACATACATACCTTACCCACACTCCTTCTATCACACGGTCCTCTTCGCCTGTGTTCGCACACGGGCCTCACTCAGTGCCTGTATCACGGCGTCAATCCATCATCCCGTCGCCATGAATTGGTGCATCTGCCTCCTTCATGATCACTGAGGGAACCCTGTCATGATTCTCCTTGAGTCCATTCCTAGAGCGGCTGTTGCGCAGCCCAAATTTGTTTTCCATCTCATTTAAACTGTGATTTCTGGCATAGCGAGAGCGTTCGTCATCGACATATACTTGGGACAAGTGATGTCTCCTGCACCGTGATCTGTTTACCGTCTGATATAGAGTCCACACTGGACTCAGGCTTTCCTGCGCATCTCTCCTATCGAACACGGAAAAGGAGCAATGTGTACATCATTTGAGAGGAAGAAAAGGAGGAAAAAGGCAAAGAGCGTTTGTTAGGCATTTACGACGGATGGTTTTATTTGGTGTCTGTACAATCTTTCTTCCGTGTTCATATTGGGGAAGGCTATAATTATCTTGTTCACTGGCCAGGATCTGGAGCATTGTGGCGACAGTTTTATTGGGTTGAATTTTCGTTTTCCGCTTTACTATACATACACGACTGATTTCGGTATCTATTTCTTTTGTGATGTCTTCTGCTTATTTTTCAGGGTTCGGTTCCCATGGGGTGAATTTTTGTAACTATCAGCATAGAGCGAGATGACCATGAAAATATTCTTATCTATAAAGAAAAAGTAAACTCAAATGGGGTACAGAGTAGCGGGTGACTGCTTCAAACATGAGGTAGTAGACCTTTGGAAGAGTCGAGTAGATATGTTAGTAGTGATACATAGTGCAATTCGGTCGTTGAGTTATGCCGTGGATGAGGGTTATGCAGCTGATTAAGGGTCTCCTTAGTCACCCGCGGCTATAAATAAAAAAGGAAAATTAAAAGCGGCGGGCCAATCCCGAAGCGGCCAACTGGACTTTGAGTCTGGCTGGAACTTCGGCGGGTCGAATCTTCCCTGTCAACCTGGAACTTCTCTTCTGTCGACGACCATTCCATTCATCTTATCCTCCCCTGGACTTCTCTGTGTCGCTTGACTGAGAACTGGTCAGATCACTTTGTGTCCTGATCGTTCATCGTCTGCTTCTCACATTCGTTTGAAACCTACTCCTTCTTTGCTGGGGCCCTCCGGTGCCGCACCACGCTCCCGCAGCCAGCCTTTTCCCTACCCTTTTTCCTGCCCCGGGCGATCGCTGGCTTCCACCCCCCCCCTTCTCCATATCGCATCGTCAACTCTGACCTCCCCTGTCGACGCCTTCGATCCGTCAGATTTCAGTCTCGATTTTGTGTGATCGTCCCTGCCATTATCTGCATCGCGTCCAAACCCGCTCCTTTTCCCTTCTCCGGACGGTCCGTCTCTTCCGCCGCCCGTTCTGCATCGTGTTGTCCGCTCCACGACAGATTGATCGATCTCCCTGGACTCTGGTGTCCCAGCGATAGACATCCCCATCCTCAGAAATCGTCGCCTAGCTGTAGGCGTCGACGGTTTCTGAACACGAAAAGCGAGATCATTCTGCTCGCTTTCCTGGCCAACTCATAATCTTATTTCCCCTTTTTCTCCCCCGTCGCGAAGATGTTGCTCCCCAAGGGTGGTGTAACGTGGAAGTCTGCCAAAGCACGGCTGCCTCCATGGCGGGCTGTTCTGTTCCTGGTCACACGGACCCGTTTTCTGGTCTCATTGGCCATCACTGGTCTTGTAGTCCTACTATGGCGTGGCATCAGCAAGTCAGCGTCGGAGATGCAGAGGTGAGTACCTGACTCGACGTTGACAGGGCTGCCCGCGACACCCGGTCCCTGGCAACGACTTGCAGGCACGCGACCAGAAAACGCTAACGGCTGCATGTAGCTTCTACTGCTATGGCCCTTCAAAATCGCCGATGGAGATGAGCATCAACGAAATGGTCGAGTGGACCGCGCACACACAGACCCCTGTCCTCTTCAACCATCACGCTGCCTACGAAGTGAACTCCTCGAGCATCAAGACCGTCGACCTCAACCCCATCAAGTCTACCTCCCAGGCCATCTCGAATTCTGAGCGGGTGCTCATCCTCACCCCTCTGAGAGACGCATCCGAACATCTGGTCAACTACTTCGATCTCCTCTACAAGCTGACGTACCCTCACAACCTCATTGACCTGGCTTTCCTCGTTGGTGATTGCAGTGACGACACCATGGCTGTTCTTACCGCTGAGCTGTCCCGGATCCAGGACCAGGTGGATGAGAAGATTGCTTTCCGTAGCGCGACAATTGTGCAGAAGGACTTTGGGGCTGATGTCGAGATGAACGTCGAGGACAGGCACTCCTTTGCTGCTCAAGGCCCGCGCCGCAAGGCTATCGGTCGCGCCCGCAACTACCTGCTCTACTCGGCTCTCAAACCTGATCACTCTTGGGTCTACTGGAGAGATGTTGACATCTTTGACAGCCCTGATAGCATCATTGAAGATTTCATTGCTCACGACAGGGATATTCTGGTTCCAAGTACGTTGCAACACCTCTATGAATACCACGTTTCAAGGTGCTAACCCCGTCGCAGACATCTGGTTCCATCGCTACCGGGATGGTGTTGATGTCGAAGGTCGATGTATGTACACAAACTTCCCTTCACAATCCTCGCTTTGCTAATTCTTGCAGTTGACTACAACTCGTGGATCGAATCGGACAAGGGACGCCGGCTTCGGCAGACTCTCGACCCGGATACTGTTCTGGCTGAAGGCTACAAGGAGTACGACACTGGCCGCACTTACCTGGTTGGCATGGGTGACTGGAGAAAGAACAAGGATGAGGAAGTTGAGCTCGACGGTATTGGCGGTGTCAACATCCTCGTGAAGGCCGATGTTCACCGGACTGGCATCAACTTCCCGGCCTACGCTTTCGAGAACCAGGCTGAAACCGAGGGATTCGCCCGCATGGCCAAGCGTGCTGGATACCAGGTGTACGGTCTTCCGAACTATGTGGTCTGGCACATTGACACGGATGAGAAGCCTGGCAACCTCGGAGGCCGCAAGGCATACTAGCTGCTTACCTGAGTTGATTCTCATTTTCCCGCAGTTTGAGTGGTTCACCTATTGCCACATCTCATCCTTTGACGCCTGAATACCCCGTTCCCGTGTACATCCGAGCCCTTGCAGCGGTTCTTTGCATGGAGGCTTTCCTCTTAACGCTTTTATTGAAAACTTTTTTCTTCGATTTTTTTTTTTCCCTTTTTCTCTTTCGTGATTGCATTTCTTCGGACGCGGGGACGGATATCTCACGACGCCGGTAATTAAGTCTTTCTTTGTATTGCGTGCTAGGGTTATGTCTGATTTTGTTGGCGCTACGGGGACAGTGTTCAGCGGTATTGGAAGCTCATAGAGAGCGAGTGAGCGGGCTCTGGTTGGAGCCTACGTTGTTCTTCCAGGCCCAAGCCATGGGCTCCTTTCACCGGCATGGTGCTCTCAAGCTATTGCTCATCTCCCGGGGTCTGCTTGACGCATCATCTGCAGTTAGAGCAGTTGACCGTATTCGGGATGAGCTATACAGTAGCTCAGGGAGGTCGATGAAAGAGGCAGATGAACAGGGCCATGGTGCTTGGCGTCCATGTACATACATATATAGGCTACAATCTGGTGGGCTTGTTATGATTGTAAAACCGATAAGCTAGTAGCAGTAGTAGGAACTAAATAGTAGTCATAGGTTTTAATAGTAGGAATAGTCGAAGATCCACCGGATAAGTGCTGCTCCTGCCTCCCCACCTTTTCCCCGCTTCCACTTCCCGCCATCGGATCTCTCATCTTGCCGGACTTTTCCCTCAGTTTTCCCTCTCACCACACTTTACACCTTTCTGATTGCGTATCATTGAAGACGAAAACTTCAACACCATGCCTGCCAAGAACGAATTTCTCTGCATCCTCCCGGACAAGCCGGGAATGATGGCCAAGCGACTGGAAGTTCGCCCGTAAGAACTACCCCTCACCTGTTCTTTCTAGTCATCAACACTGACAACACCGGCTTCACCGAACAGTCAACACTTGGAAGGAGTCAAGCCCCTCGTCGAAGCCGGCTCTGTGGTTGCGGGAGGTACATCATAGTTGCCACACTCCCTGTTTTCTCCTGCTTCTCCGTTGCTGACTTCTTCCCCTAATAAGGCGCAATGCTCGACAAGCACCCCGCAGAAGGCGAATCCATGTCCTTCCAAGGAAGCATGATGATGGTATTGGCGGAGACCAAGGAGGAAGCCGAGGCGCTCCTCAGGAATGATATCTACACGAAGAGTGGAGTGTGGGACATGGACAAGGCGCAGATTATTCCGGTTTGTGTTTATTCCCTGCTTCTGCCTCCCTCCCCTTTTGGCAGGCCCATCACCATGCGTACCTTTTTACTGACATGTGGGCGGTTATAGTTCAAATCTGCCGTTCGGTTGGCATTGTAGATCTTCTTTTTTGTTCCTGTCACATATCACATTCCATGGTATATATGAATGACTCAGTTTATTGCATAGCGAAAGTGATAGTACCTTTGGTTATTGATACTATTGGAGTAAGTGGGTTTATTTATTCATGCAATGCTTTGCGCGTGGCTAGTGCAAGGTAGGACAGCGCAACAATAGTACGTGCCTGCGGTGGCAGCACGCATTTGCACTATGAAGTGACTGGTCATGTCGGCAGTCATCGTGCCTTTCAGGGGTCGAGTCTGGGAACTTGCATGTGCAGGACTAGTTCTTGACTGGGGCACGATGCTCCATGGGCCGTGTCCCCGGTTGTCTACTTACAGAAGGACATGGTTATCTCCTGCGCCATGTGTTGCTCATTGTTATGCGTCATATCATCCGGATGCTTCCCTGTTGAGCTGAGATGGCTGAAGTTCGTCCTCGGCCGGTGTTTGCTCGGCCACGCTTACGTGACGCAGGTTTTAGGTTTGGGAGTATACATGAGGAAGGACGTGATTTGAGCCTCCAGTTTAAAAGCTGCTGGCAACTTGTTTCTCCGTGATTGGATCCAAACCTAATCCTGATGATCAACAGCACACTCATTATATCGTCACAATCAAGTACTAGCCGGATGGCCGTGACGAGCATTGCATGTCACACTTCTCTTGATTTGCCTCCCGATGATAAAGATATTCTACTGGCGCAAGGTACAAAAAGCGAATATACCCACGACAGTATCATATGTTGAATGTCTCAGTAAAGCGGCCAAGAACTGAACGAGTCAGTGCTTACAGTCGTACTCCAAGCCAACAGTACTTCATCGCGCACACAAAGAAGGTTGATCTTGCGTCACCCTTGATAAACGTGACTGCGGCGATGCATGCACCCACAGGTGTGCATTCCTACAGGCGGAGAGCATGTACACGTAACCCAGCACTAACAAAACGTGGCAGATACCTGAATATGTGACGCCATCACAGCATCTTAAAACTAGAACTGTCAAGTCGTGCAACCAAAGCATCAGTTACCTAAGATCTCATCATGCCGTCCAACGAGAGTCAACCAAAGGTAGGCAATAACGCCGTACTTCGCAACATCAATCCCAACTACACGGGCTTCGACCATATTAGATGGTATGTCGGGAATGCCCGTCAAGCAGCGACCTACTTCGTCGCCCAATTTGGCTTCCGCATCGTTGCCTACCGCGGACCAGAAACGGGCTCTCACCTAAGCTGTTCGTACGTTGTCACCAACGGAAACGCCCGATTCGTTCTCACGGCTCCCATCACTTCTCCCAATAACACCTGGGACAAGCGGGCCTCAGGCGCAGACCGTCAGCAGTTGGATGAGATCCATACACATCTCACCAAGCACGGCGATGGCGTCAAAGACATCGCGTTCGCCGTCGACGATGTCACTGGCGTTTGGGAACACGCCATCCAGCACGGTGCCATGTCCATCCAGGAACCACAACTCCTCAAAGATGACAGCGGCGAGGTCCGTTCCGCCACATTCCAGACCTACGGCGACACAGCACATACGCTGATCAACAGATCCGCGTATCAAGGGATCTTCCTCCCCGGATACCAAGCCGTATCCGGCCAGGATCGACTGAACGATCTACTTCCCGAGATTGACGTGATCGAAATCGACCATTGCGTGGGCAATCAAGGCTGGAATGGCCTAGACAGCATCGTGAAGTAGTAAGCATCACCTCCCATCCCCATAACACCTTTCATACTATACATTAACACAACCACCAGCTACGAAGACGCCCTAAACTTCCACCGCTACTGGACCGTCGACGACAAAGAAATGTGCTCCCAATACTCCGCAATGCGCTCCATCGTAATGGCCTCGCCCAACGAAATCATCAAAATGCCCATGAACGAGCCCGCCACCGGTCTCAAAAAGTCCCAAATAGAGGAGTACGCCATACCCTCCCCCCCACTTTCCCTTTCATTCTCCCCAACAGCAAACCCCCTCACCGGACTACTGATTAACATCCGCCAGATTCGTAGAATACTACAACGGCCCGGGCTGCCAACACATCGCCCTCCTCACCCCGAACATCCTCCAAGCCGTAAAGAACCTCACCACCCGCGGCGTATCCTTCCTCTCCGTCCCGGAGACCTATTACGCCAACATGCGCACGCGCCTCGCATCCGCGAACATAACCCTAGCCGAAGACATCAACCTGCTTCAGAAATACAATATATTGATTGATTTCGATGAGGGTGGGTATTTGCTGCAGATTTTCACAAAGCATGTGGTTGATCGCCCGACGGTGTTTCTGGAGATTATTCAGAGGGAGGGATTTGATGGCTTTGGGGCGGGGAATTTTAGGAGTTTGTTTGAGGCGTTTGAGAGGGAGCAGGAGGGGAGGGGGAATTTGTAGGTATTCTTTGATTGATTGCTAGGTTGGTTGGTTAGATGGGAATTAGAGACTAGGGTTTAAGAGAGTGGTTGCTGCTATCATTTGGCTTTGCTAGAATAGATCAGGAGTGGGTTGCTTTATAGTACTATTGTCAACACTTGATGTGGCTACGTAAGTGTCTTGTGGCTCATGTACTCCGGTTCAATTAAGGTAAGGAAGGAATACGGTTAATCTAGGTAGATTATCTTCGCGTCACTATAAAAGTAGAAGAAGAAAATGATCAAGAACTTCGATACAAGCTAGCTCAACCATCTTATATCAAAACATACAACATCCATACCATCCCGCCAATATCCATTCCATTTCCGTCCCTGAACGCCGTCCCTATGAATAGATATAACGCATTGGAAGAATACCGAGACTAGACCCCATCATAAACAATACTGTAATATAGCAGCATATCATCACTGCTGCTGCGGCTGCTGCGGCGGCGCTGGCGCAGCAGCACCACCCGGGGTAATCTTAGGTCGTTTCGGGTCGTTCTCAACGCCTACCGGTGGAGCAGGCCCGCTGCCGCCACTAGGGTTCGAGGCATTCGTCACATCAGACAAAGGGGGTCGTTTTCCGTTCATGTTCTGCGGTGCAAGACCCGGTGTAGATGCACGATTGGCGGCCGCAGCTGCGCCCGGAGCATTGATGTTGGGCCGTGTTAAGGGCCGGTAAGATGATGTGGTCATAGGTCTGCTCATGGGGCTGTTCATGCCCGGAGCACCGATCCTGCGGTTCATATCTTGGGATGGGTTGACGAAGTCTCGGGCGTTGTTTGTTGCTGGGGAGGCGGCACCGGTTCCGGCGAGCATGGGTCTGGAGACTGGGAGACTCTTGTTGTGGTCGATGCCTGCGGTCTTTCGGATGGAGGGACTCTCCGCGTGGGGGTCGAAGACTGGGGCTCCGGATGGGATCCCGTTGGGGTTGTCGCGGAGGAGGTCGACTGCGCGAGCTGAGAAGAATGACGCGGAGGGCGTGCCGGGAAGTGTGTCTTGCGGTTTGGGGGGTTCGTTGGTGGTGGGTGCCCCGAATTCACGTTTGATGGGCACGGCACCGCTTGTGTTTGATGCAGCGGCGCCTGCTTGTGCTGGTGGGACCATCCGGTTATTGGGGAGGTTTTGCTGGGGAACTTGAGGAGGCATAGATTGTCGTTGAGGTGCGGGCTGGTTTTGGGCTACGGAAGGGTTGAGTCTGCTGTTAAAGGGCTGAGGGGCGGGATTTTGTCTGGCACCAGGTGCTGGGTTGAAGGGCCGTTCCGGCTTGGATGGCGTTACCATGGCTGGGTTAGGCCTCATTGGTGCACGAGCGTTGTTATTGAATGGCTGTCGAGGTACGTTGGGCCCGTTTAAAGGCGTCGGTGGTTGCTTCTGTGTTTCTGGTCCTAGTACTACCTCGTCTGGGTTGCCGGATCCGCCTACCCCAAAGTCGGCTTCATCGAATAGGTCACCTAAGGAGAAGGTTAGCGGTTGTAAGCGATCGTGACATACCATTGTACTTACTTCCGAACTCCCCATCGCCATCAAATGCCATTGAGTCGTCGAGGCTACTGTTCTTGCCAACATCCGTTGGCCGAGGTGGTAGATCATCGTCTTCTGGACTGGGCTTCGGTTTTACGGGCTCTTTCCTGGGAACAAAGTCTGGGTGACGGTGCAGTTCGTCGACATCCCATTTAGCCTAGAGAGAGTCAGTCGTGGTGAATCGAGTGTCCGCAAAATGGACACATACCGGTACAGTCTTCACCTTGGTGACCTTCGAGACATAGTCCTTATCGTAGACACAGTTGCCCAGGACATTGCCGAAGTTCCTCAGAGCCCGCTTTAGAGCATCGGTTGTCCCCTCTTTCTTAGCTTTCTCGAAAGCAGCAGCCTTTCCTTTACAGTTCTCGATGTGACCGTAACCAATATCCTGATACCAGTCGAGGCTTAGCGTAAAGATACAGACGAGCTCGCTGCAACACAGTGATGCCTACCTCGTGATATGTGCCGTCTTTCAGAGTCACCCTCACAATGACAGATAGACCCAGGCTGATCTTCCCAGTATTCGGGTTCTCCTCGACGAAATCGATCTGAATATTCTGGATTGAGCTTGACCAGCCATTGAATCCGAAAACTTCGTTTGCTAGGTTGATGCATTTATCGGCCGACAGGTAGTGTACTCTCTGTCCCGCAGCCCCAGGCCTGGAAGAGATGTATTCGGGGCCGAGCTTCTTATCGAGACGAGCTTGCAAAGTCGCAATTTCCTGGGCAGTGTACTCGTTAATTCGTCGCTGTGGCTCTTCGAATGGATTCGCGGTGATCGCTCCAGTGGAGTTGGGCATCATGATGGACGCTGGATTCCCTCGGTGCTGGTCGCCAACACTAGAGACGCGGTTAACTTCTTGAGGCGAATGGGGGAGGAGGAGAAACGGGGCCACCGTGTTTACTTACGCGGGCATTATTATAGTAAAGATAGTGAAGTACCAAACTGGGCGGTCATTGAAAGCCACCAGTGGGATAGTCAATTAGTGAATGACAATCAAACATGCTAGCTCTAGGCGTGTCGACGCGTGATCGATGCCGACACGCCTTATCACGTCATCACGTGATGATATCGCTGCCTGTAATGTATCACTCATGGAGTGACTGCCTAATCTACCGAAATCAATGAGCAGGAGTCAGGAGGTCTAGAGTCGCTAAGGTAAATTCTAGCTAGATTTAGGCTTATGATTATTTCGGTTACTTCTCAGCTTTCGTGCTGTGCTAATGCGATGTTGGCATTCTATGACATTCTTCATGCGAGCCTTGCTTTTAAGGCACAAGCAAAATCATTACGAACCTCATCACCACTTATTTGGTGATTTGTTGGATATCGTCATTTAAGCTCTCGATTGGCTCCGCTAAGAAGCACAATATAGGCGCAGTCACTGGACAACAAGACTTGCGCTAGGGATCAGGCCCAGGTCCTTCAGGGACTCGCCGAAATACTCCGCATCGAAGACCTTCCGGGGAAAGTTCTGCGCAAAGCTGTGTACTTCTATTCCATCCTCCCGCTGCAGAGCTGCAGCGATCTCAAAGAGCGTGGTAGTCACTGGGAGAGTCTTCATGATATTTCCCTTCGATGTCTGGAATCTCAGGCGGGTTTCCGTATAGGCCGAAGCGGGCTTCGAGGCAACGGGTCCAGACGTGGTGGCCGCCGGGGCTGGTGCAGGCTGAGCAGGGGGTGCTACACCGGCACGTTCGGCCCTCTCTCGTTCAGCCCGCAGGCGCCGCTCTTCCTTGTCAGCTTCAATCCTAGCCTTGACGCGTTTCTTGGCCTCGATGTCTGCTAGCTTCTCTTTCTTCTTCTGTTCAGCTTCTTTCAGCGCTTGCTTTCGCTGGAGTTCTTCTTTAACGTCTTGGGAGTCCTTGGTGGCCTTCCTACGGATTTCCTGGGACAGAATTAGCAATTAAAATCCAATCGTAGTCGAAACCATCCGTACCTCATTCCTCTTCTTGTCAATCTTGTCCTGCTCTGACTGTCCCGCCCGCTTTTCCGCTAGTTTCTGTCTAAGCTCCTCGAGCCTTGCCTTCTTTTGGTCTTCAGTCAAAGGAGCAAGCTCTTCGGTTGATTCGGAGAAGTCAACGTGTTGGGATTTAGACGCGTGAAACTCGGCCTGTGCATGGCTCCGGAACTTCTTGCCACACTCATTGCACACCAAGCTGCGAGCTTCCTCTCCCGGCTGAAGTGCAGGGCCCTCCTCGCTCTCCTCTTCTTTAATCTCCTCCAGTGACTTGTCCTGATTTGCTTCCAGCCATTCGAGAGCACCCTGAACTGCAAAGTGTTATCAGAAGACTGTCAGCGGTCGACACTGTGTAGCTGGGCTTAAGAGTAACATACTGCCGTTGCCCTTCTTCACTGCAATTTCGGATCTTTCCTTATCAAAGCCCATCTCAATGAGCTGGTCCAGATCGGAGGAGGCCATGGTGACACTGGCTGTGAATTCGGAGAGGGTGAGGTGGTGGTAGAGTCTCAAAAGCGGGGTAAAGGGATCGTCTTTGCTCGGTAACCGACAGGTCGAGTTGTAAATGTGGTATCGCCCGGAGCTGATGAAAACTATAGTCAAATATGGCGCCTTGAGAAAGCGACGATAGAGTGGGGAATTGTTTGAGCGTTGGGAAGAGCTGGGCTTGCGGGTGACGTATCGATAGCTTGAGCTGAGTGATAGATGGCCGGCTGCGGAATGTCCCGCCGCCCAGATAGGCCGCCCCCAAGCGGCATCAGGTACACCAATGTTCTGGACCTTTCTAGCCTTTCTCTGGAGCTCGTACAGCTGGAGAAGGTCTACATGTTTCTCTTTTGCCAGTCACTGTCTGTGGGATTTTGTGAATTCATTTCAGGATTGATATTATATATTCAAGGTCCTAAAATCGAGCGCTTGCGGGCTGGAATAAGATAGCAAATCGCACCCAGGACACTACTCGCACAGAAGTAGTTCTACAATTTAGGATCAATATGAAGATTGACGTATTTTACAGCGCTTATGTTGAGCTTCAATAAGACAAAATGCCCTATGAATATCTAGATGCACGAGTCACAGCTGATGTCCCGATCGTGCAGGATTTGTAAAACACTCATTCGCCCGTCATAAACGATTTATTGCCAGTGATCAAGAAGAAGCTGTCGTTAGCGGCCATTCGGCTTTGCTAGATTGCTGACAGAGCCGATCTATGATGAGACTCTGAAAATGCCTCAACAGGCCCCGAGAAACAAAAGAGCACACAGTATAAGTTAGATCGACCAATGGGCTCCGGAAGATGTGTGATATTGGCGCCTGACAGCCGTCATAAACCAATCTGGAAGATTGGGTACCTATGGCTTCTTGGTTGCATGGTGTCTGGCGAACAACAGCTGTTCAGCACGATTGGCGCAAATCCTGGAAAGTAAGCGCATAGGGCGCCCCGGATCGAGGATCACTGTTGGCATTAGAGCCCACTTCAGCATTTAAGTTTGGTACCCATGGAGCCTGCTAATCTTCAAAGTTCGGTGTGACGGCGTGCCTGGATAGAGCTGTACAGTAAACGAACTGACAAGATAGCCTCGTATTGAGTCACTGGATAGCGTCGTGATTCAAGATTGACCAGCTGGCGAAGTGTTTGGAAAAAGAGGGAATCACCCTATTGCAAAGTGACAACTGGAAAATCTCCGTTTCAAACTAAAAAGAAAAGAAGGCTAATGGTATGCAAGACATCCGCCCATCTCTAGAGATAGTGGACACTTAGCTCGAACCATTTAATTGATTATTTTTAGACGATGTCATTATAGTGGATCCCGAATCAGGACCCAGAACTGACAGGAGTACTCCGTAGTAAATAAGGTACGGAGCAATTGGTGTGGATGGAGTCTAGACAATGGAAGCCGACAGCGACCGCAGTGAGCGTTGTTCGGCAGCTGCCCATCTCTGGTTTCTGAAGACAGCGAGCAGAAATGGAGAGGATGCAGATTGCCTGCACTTCCTGCAGGTACTTTGCTGGCTTGAAACGAGGCTCAAACGGCCATTGCCAGACCCCGTGATGACATCACCTGACCAGTGCCCCCGTGGCCGTAGCTGAGTCAGCACCCCGGTCCAACCAGCAGTTGCGACGGCGAGACCAACTGGATTCCGTCTCGCTCCCCCCGAAACGGAGAGTTGCGCCTGAACAGTTAATCATTCTGCCTCGTGGTTGGCATCCACTTTGTCGTTGACTACTTCTGACCGATTTCCCTCCTTATCATCCAGTCTTCGTTAGGTATCTATTTCTTCGGCGGGTCCTGCTGCTGTCTTCCCTCGCGACTGATCCTCTTTCCTCGGCGCACTCTCAATCTAACTTTCTAAGGGCCACCCTCTCCCGCACTGCTGGGACCATCTTCTGTACACTACTTCACCCGCGCATCCCTTTCCTTCCTGTGTGACATACTCTTCACCCTCTATCCAACATGTCTATTATTCTCGAGCCCCCGGAGTTGGGATTCAAGCGTACGTGGTGCCCTGAATCTATCTATATACTGCCCTCCTGAAAGTATCCGAAGCTGACTAAATCCCCAGGCCCCTTCGATCGTGAGGTGTGCCAGATCTTGCATTTGAAGAATGACAACGCTGAGCCTGTGGTCTTCAAGGTTCGTTATATCGACTTCCCTGAACATCTCTGGATTGCCTTAACTAACAACGACTTTCCCTCCAGGTTAAAACGACTGCCCCTAAACAGTACGTGGCCACACCCCTTCGTCACTCGACATACTAGTATCGCTGTAACAACGGTCTAACATGGAATAGTTACTGTGTTCGCCCGAACTCGGGCCGGATAGATCCTGGAAAGAATGTCGACGTTCAAGGTTGGTTTTTCTGTGTTTCGTTGGATTGGTGCTGTTGCGCAATGGCTGACGGTCTTGATAGTTCTGCTCCAGGCCATGAAGGAAGAACCTGCAGATGATGCCAAGTGCAAGGACAAGTTCCTAGTCCAGACCGTTGCCGTCACTCGCGATATGGAGTTCGCCAATGTTACTTCGATTGTAAGTCTGATTTCATGGTGGTCCCCACCGGCAGCGATCTAACATAACCCATAGTTCGAGAAATCTTCCAAGGCCTCGCTTCAAGAACGCAAGATCCGTGTGAACTGGCTGCCTGCAGATGATTCCTCAGCTGCCGAACAAGTCACCGAAACGAATGGCGTAAGTAACCCCTCACCGACCCCTTTTCGGTTCTCCAGCCATCGGATAACTAATTGTTCTATTTAGACTATGACGGAAGAAGAACCCCCAGCCTACACCTCTCCTAATGCGAATTTCCAGACACCTGCTGCTGCAGTTGCTAAAAGCGCTAACGACACGTCACCGATCCCACCGCCAGATTTCAGCGATAAGCCCAAGCGGGAAGTGTCGACCCCACAAGCAATTACTGAGAGCCCAGCCACGTCTACAAAGTCGGCCATGATGGGCGGGGCAGCAAGTTCAAGCGATGATCTGAAAGCCCAATTGTCCGAGGCTAATGCTCAGATTTTGGCGCTGAAGGAGAAGCTGGCAGATCAGGGCCTGAGGCAGCGGAAGATCGGAGGTGAAACCGAAAAGGCGCCGGCGCCATTGGTGCAGCAACAGCCGCAATCTGCCGAGGCAGGCGTGCCAGTGCAGATGGTCGCTGGCTTGTGCCTCCTCAGCTTCCTGATCGCATACTTCTTCTTTTAATTTCTCAGTCTTTTGAGTCGTCTTCTTTATGCTCCGCGCTCGCTTGCTCTTCTTTTTTCTTAGCATCTTTTACCCGCCATCCGGTTCTATCAACCAACTGTATTCTCTTCTGGAGTGTCCAATTTCCTTCAACAGCTTTGTCGACATCGGCAATGATGGTGTCCATGTGATACCTACTATTTTATCATTTTGCCGCTCCGTTCACAGCTGGCTTATCTGGCACCTCGGTACGGCCTTTCACTTGACAATTTCTTTTCTTTTCTTTTTTCTATTATCCTTTCCATTTTTCTATTACCATAACCTTTACCCCCAGTGTCCGAAAATTGCTCCCGGCGGCTGTGATGAGATGATGCAGTAGATGGGAGGCAGGGGCGGTACTGTCCGTTCCATGGAATGACCATGCGTGGGCCCATCTTCTCTGCCCTTGCAACTTTCCAATTGGTCGGATGCCTTAACCCCTGACTCTATCCCAGCGTTTCTTCTCCTCCTTTATTATTCTCTTGTCTTCCTTTTCCAAGTCTCCTTGCCCAGTCTTGTGTTCCCAGCGACATAACCGTTTAGACGAATGCACGCGTCCATAGTTTCAGTCAGTCAGGCAGTAAAGCTAATCATGATGATGCCATTGAAATGTCTATTGCATTGCCCGTTTTCTTTGTACTTGTATGTCGGAAAAGTTGTCTCAGCGATGAAAACACAATAAATTATAATTGATTTTCCCATACTGCTAAAGTAACTATACACAATCTAAATCATACTCAACTATGTCACATGTACTTTGTAGGATAAGTAGGTAAATAGATGACATCATGTCATGTAAATAAAATCAGTCGGTCAATCCCAGCATATAATCGACATCAGGTACCAGCACCAGTCAGTCAGTTAGTTCATCATGGAAACAACAAAGCCATGGGATATCATCTCTAGTATACTATGTCACAGGTCATCAAAACAAAACAGAGAAAGGGTACCGTGTGGACGGTACACATGATACATACAACATGTGGTAGAGAAAAAACAGACGATGATCCAAATCAATTCTGAATCTCACTCTCCTTCCACCCATCTCCCGATTCCCCCTCCGGACCAGCCGACGAAGCCGAGATGCTTTCACCCGCGCGTCCGCCCCCACCACCGACGAGACGACCGCCCTGCGCACGCTTAACCCGACACCACATGCCGACGTTCTTGTCCAGGATGAACGTCCAAATCACCCACACCCAGCTGTGATGGCAGGGGAGGGGTTCATAGAATTCGCTAGCGATGCGGTGCAGCTCGTGCAGTCTTGTCCAGGGGATAGCGGGGAAGTCGTGGTGCTCGTTATGTAAGCCCACGTTGTAGGTGAAGAAGTTGAGGGGGCCGTAGTAGGAGTAGGTTTCCGGTGGGGGGAGGGAATCGAGAGGGTGAGGCTTCTTCTTCTGGTTGTTCTTTTGCTCTTGGATGGATTCGGTGCCGTGGCCAACTTGGGAGAAGAAGTAGTGCTCTGCGATGAAGTGGCCGGCGCAGGGGTGGAGAGAGCCGGCGAGGAAGGAGCTCAGGAGGAGGTAGAGGAGGGGTTGGAGGGAGCCGCCGCAGAACTTGGTCAGGGCGTAGTCGAAAGTGAGCTGGGTGATCAGGTTCAGGACGTGGATGGAGGTGAAGGGAGGGCTGTAGATGAACATGGGGCGGACGGCGTAGAAGAGGATCTGGAAGGTGCAGAAGAAGGCCTTTCCGAGGATGGAGTCGAGGAGGAAGGCTTCGACGGCGGTGGGAAGGTCGGTGTCTAGGCCGGCGACGCCGAGGGACTTGTGGTGGGTGAGATGGTAGGGCTGTGAAGCGGGAGAAGTTAGCTTTAGCTTCTTGCATACTTGTTTCATGTGCTTCTTCTGGGGTTTGGGGGCCCGACGTACCCGGAACGCAGCGCTGTAGGGCAAACCGATGGGGATGTTGGCGAAGATGGCCAGCAGACGGTTGGCCATGGCAGACCGGAAGGCGAGGTTATGGGAGATCTCGTGGATGGCGAGGAAGAGGTTCTGGTTCGAGGTGGCTCCGATCACGTATGCAGTTGCGAGAAATTTCCAGTCGAGCATGGAGGTGTTGCGGAGCAGGTAGGCGCAGAGGACCTGGAGAGAGACGACGCCCAGAACGACATATTTGGTCAGGGGCTCTGGTCCGCAGAGCTTGGTGACCTGAAGGAAGCACAGATGTCAATAAATGATTCTTTGGCGGAAAAGGCCACGGAGAAGTATATGCATACCTCCGGGTGCGCTTTGATGATGGCTTGTCGCCTGGAGCGATGCGGCTCCTCTGTGTACGTCCAAAAGAAGTGGTCATCGACAGCGGAGGTTTCTGGAGGGTCGATTCTAGTTGAAGGCTCTGTTTTATCGGGGGTAGCTTGCGCAGCCTGGCCCTTGGATGCGGACACGCGGAGATGCGGTGAAGCATCCGCGGTGGCTTCGACGACGGACGAAGACATAGCGAGGGACGAGTAGGGGCGAGATGACAGACTTTCCAGGTGGCAATTTACGCCATAGATGACTGCGACCGAGGAGTAGGAAGGAGGAAGAAGAGAGTGTGGGAGAGAAATGGGCTGATGGGAGAGCGCAAGGGACAGAACAACGTGAGTTTCGGAGCGGATGCTTTCCACGTGGGGCTACCCGGATCCACGGATGGTCCGATTTCATCTACGCTTTTTATTACTCGGTGAAAAGTTATACATAATCATCGGCGTCATTGGTCAATAGTTAACATGCATTTCATATACTTGGTTCGTTTCAAATAAGGCTAATTGGAGTGGTACAATCCCTCAACCCTCGACCAAAGATAGTTCAACCTAGTAGTCGTCGCCGCGACTGATGACTTCCTTTACATTGGGTCGAAGGACAATCGTCTGTCGTCTGGTTAGCTGTATGTCTATGAATCGTGAGAGATGCAGAAAGACGTACATGTTCATACTGGGCAGTGTAGGAGCCCTTGATATCGCAAAGAGGTGGGTAGTCCTGGACAATTCCGGACGAGACCAGGTTGTTCAACTGCACCAGATTAGCATTGACACATTATGAAGCAGAGGAATCACTCACCCCAAGGAGGTACTTATCCTGGCCCAACCGGTCAAGGTAACGGCGACAGAAGGGAAGAGTACCGAAGTTCTTGTTGATGACGTTCAACAAGTTCTTCGCCGAAGAGAGACGCAGAGGAACCTGACTGTGATCAGGGATCAGAGCGTAGTGAGAGGTTTCCATCTTCATATCAGTTAGCAAATGAATAAGTTCTGGTCAATAAATGTGACAACTTACATCCTCTCTCACGTAACCCTTTCCGGTACTACCGAAGGTCTCAATGGCAAACACTTCACCCTCCTCCATCTTGGTCTGGTCGCCACCCTTGACAATCGGAACACTCTTGCCACCGTGGATGATGTGCTGGTCAATGTTGTGACCGTTGAGGTTCCGGATACACTTGACGGGATACATGGTCCCGTTGATTTCAACTTCGTAACTCTCCATGGCCTCCTGGACGGCGGCACCAATGTCGCTCATGCGGACGTCGATACCCGCTTCCTACATCAAGCTGTTAGTAGCCAGACACTCGGTCCTAGGATAGAGACTGTAGACATACGCGGATACCAGTGTTGGTAGCATCCTTAACGGCGGCCAAGAGAGGGTCATACACCGGGTCAAAGGCCACGGTGAAAGCACTGTCGACGATGCGGCCGTTGATGTGGGCACCGAAATCGACCTTCATGACATCACCCTGCTGCAACACCATCTTGTTGCCAGCGTTAGGGGTGTAGTGGGCAGCGCAGTGGTTGATACTGAGACCACAGGGGAAACCCATACCACCCTTGAGGTTATCACCTTCCTCAAGACCCTGGTGACCAGTCAAGGCACGGACGGATTCTTCAATGCCCTCCGCAATCTCCGTGAGGGTCTGACCAGGCTTGATGGTCTTCTGCGCATACTGACGAACCTGACGGTGCACCTCAGCTGCCTGACGGTACTCCTGCAGGAAGTCATTCTTCATGCGGTCGAGGTAGCGCTTCTCCTCGTTGGTGGTGCGGTACGAATTCTCATTCTGGTACTCGACGATCTCACCCTCGGGATATTCCTTGCCGGCGAACAGAGTCGACAGGGGAACGCGCGGGGGAGAGGACTGGACCTTGGCACCTCCCTTCTTCTTCTTCTTGGACTTGCGCTTCTTCTTTTTCTTGGCGGCTGCACATCCGCGGATTTGGTCAGTGCGGGGAGAACTCTGGAATTGGCCCGAGGGGTTGGTAATCCGTGGAGAGAAAGCGCACCTCCGCTGGCTGCACCCTCGCCGGCAGCATTTCCATCCTCTACTTCATCATCGTCGGAGTCGTCCTCCGCCTCTCCGGCTTGTGCTTGACCAGCGGCAGGGGCGTCCGCCTTCGCGTCGCCGCTTTGACCGTTGACTAGAGAGCGAGCGGGGAAATCTTATCAGCTTACTGCGAACGGATGGCAGAGGAGGGTTCGGAGATCAGCAACGGGAGTCGTTCAGTGACTTACGGTCGAGCTTCTGCAGCTTCTCGCTAGCCTGGGCAGCCATGTTGAAAAGCTGGGCAAACCGGGATGAATTGGTGGTGGGCTGATGGAGGGGAAAGAAAAATGAGGGCAAAGCGGCAACCGTCGGGGAAAAGACGGTCAATGCCAAGCCTGAAGGTTGCCTTTTGGCTGTTTTCAGGGTTCCGCGGCGCCAACTGGTTAGTTAGTATTGGAGCCCTAGCTGGTTGTCTAGATCGATGCTGTGGAGAAGCTTCAGGTCAGGTACAACCTGCATGTACAAATTGAATGCATTGACCATACTAATTACTACAAACTATACAACAAAGGAGATCTATATGTGTAGGTATCAGTGTACGCTAACATTGCAATTGGTCGCGTGCGTCTGAAGCCTGCAGAAACCTGTCTGACCGAACCATCGACATTGATTAGAGAATAAGAAAGAGGGATACTATGCATAGAAGGTACATAATGGGCTAATAAAATGGACAAAGTGACGCTGTCATGCAACAGCATCTAGAACCACCATAAATGAACCTACATCCATACATGCACACCAAACAACACCAGCAACCCAGAACAAGAAACACAACAAGAGAACAAACAATAAAATCACTTCATAGATCTCTTCAATAATATCCCGAGATCAAGATACACAATCTACACCCAAGCATAGCACCAAATACAACGTAGCACAAAGTATATCTACGAAGTAGTAAGAAAGCAAGATCCACCACCACCAGATCAGATCAGATAAACCCGACCGATGACGCAGCTCCGCCTTCCGAAGAGCGGCGGATTTCCTTCTCTCATCTTATCCCGGCCCAGCACCGATAAGTTACAATCTCCAACTCTCCCTCCCTCTATTCAATCGCGCCCTCTTCCATTCCCTCCTAACCCCCACCCTCTACCTAATGTAACCAACCAACCCTCATAACCAACACAACACAACACAATCCTCAAAAAGAACCATGACCTTCCCTCGTCTCCGGGGGCCCACGGCCACCCGCCTCCGACAGACCACCACAATCACCACCAACACACCCTACACCAAACCAATCCACCACCACCCAATCCGAACATTCACCTCATCAACCCCCCATTACTCCCCCACCGCACGCGAACCAACCTACTACGAAATCCTCGACGTTCCCCCAACCGCCACCCAAGCCGAGATCAAAAAGTAACCTTCCCCCAATCCCATTCCCTCCCTCCTCACCTTCAACTAAACCAATTCCCAGGAAATTCTACGCCCTCTCCCTCCAACACCACCCAGACCGCAACCGCGACGACCCCAGCGCCTCCAACCGATTCGCCCAAATATCCAGCGCCTACAACACCCTCAGCAACGCCACGAAACGCAGTATCTACGACCGCGACCACCACATCCACATCCATGCATCCTCGACCCACAGCACGGCAACGCCAGGCCAACACCCCATGGGCAGCTACAGCAGCTACAGCGCGAACCTGCACACGAAGGGGGCGTCGTACGCGGGGTCGCGCCCAGCCAGCGGATTAAGTAAACGGCGGGGTCAGTTCCGTGGGCCGCCGCCGAGTTTCTATGCGCATGGGGGGTATGGAGGGACTGGGAGGCGGGCTGGTGCTGGTGCTGGTAGTGGTGTAGGTGGAGAGGGTAGTGGTGGTGGTGGTGGTAGTGCGAAGGGGACAGCAGAGGATGATCCGACGTCATTTATTCATCGGAATACGGTGTGGCATTTTAATGCAAAGGGGCATTATAGGACGCAGACGAGGGAGGATGAGAGGAGGCAGGAGCGGAGGTCGAGGGAGATGGCTGGGGCGTCGCACATCAATGATAAGTATCTTGGGAGTCCTGGGGCCATGGCTGTTAGGTTTATTGTGGTCTGTGGGATATTGATGGGGGCGGGCGCTATGACGGGGGTGTGGAACGGTGATCGGGCCGGTGGGCAGACGAAGTCTACTAAGTCGGTGGGGAGGAAGGAGGGTTGATCAGGGTTTAGAGTATGGTCAGTACTCTTCCTGGCGGGTTGGGTTGGTTCTGTATATTGGGGGCAACTGGCTGGTTCATAGACATTCATCTGGCGCAGGATTTGCTTGGGAGGTCGATTCGGCATGCATTCGGTTATAGCTGGTTCTATACCCGCGACTCTGCTGAGAGTCCCCATGTGTATATACTATAGACGGGCTTGGCTTGAAACAAGGAAATATAGGCTTGATTGATATACACTATCGTTGAAAGGGTGTGATACATGATTATTATCTAAACATCCATATAACAACCCCGCGCCCACTCCCAACTCCTATCCCGCGTATACCAACAGCCGGACGAGAGACAACCAGGAATCAATCGATAATCTCAATGACTTCCAAAATCTACTCTATCAGGCAGTATCGGAGCACAAAGGACTAGGCATGGGCGGGTGCTGAAAACAAGGAAAATTCATCTAAGCCTCGAAGGTGAAGCTGGCGCCAACCTTGTGGGCAGCCTGGTTCAGGTTCTGGGTATCGAAGGAAGCACCAAGGCCGAGGGTAACACCAGGGCGGAGGAGAACGTTGTAGGCCAGAGCGGCAACACCACGGTCGTTGATCTTGGCCTGTAGAGATTGGTTAACGATAGACCATTAAATTTCTGAAGGTGTTACGTACCTTGGCGAAGGAAGAGGGGTCAAGGCGGTACTTGCTGGCAACCTCAAGGCCGACGGAGTTGCCGGTCTTGGAGTCCCAGGTAGCCTTAGCACCAGCCTCAACCTGAGCGTTGACGCGGTGGTAGTAGCTGGCGGAGAAGACGGTCAGGTTGTTGCCAGCGGTGATGGCAGCGGAGTACTGGGGAACGCTGTAGCCAATGGCGGCGGAGTACTTGGTGATGGCGGCCTTCTGGACGTCGTAGCCACCCTCAGCACCGACGAGGAAGCCCTCGTGGCCGAGAACAGCGTCGAAGTTGGCGGAGGGGCCGTTGAGGAGGTCGAAGAAGGCA